CGTAGGAAGGCGACCAAGCTATCCTTTCCTGATGGATTGAAAATTATGTTGAGGGTGACCTGTTTTTTCTGAGGACACGTGGACCCATGCCCTCAGGGCTCCCAGTACTATGTGTTGAAGGTCGAACCAAGTTGGGTAACTTGTGCCTCTGAGGAAATGGAGGATGCACTGCCCCCTGAGTTCTGAATAATGGAAACATTGCATTGAAAATTATATTGAAGGGTGACTTTTTTTTGGAACTCTGAGGACACTTTGTAGGAAGGACACCATTGCCCTCAGAGCTTTACTATGTGTTGATCCTGTCCAGAACAATGTGTTGCATTGCAAATTATATGATGGGGTAACTTGTTTTTGGAACCTCTGAGGAAATGTAGGAGAGGAGCTCCCAGTACTAGTGCCCCCTGAGTTCTGAAATTATATTGACTATGTGCTGAGGAAATGTTGGATCCCCTGAGTCCAACTAATAGATGCATTGAAAATTATATTGAAGGGTGACCTGTTTTTTTGGACCCCTGAGGGCATGTAGAAAGGCACAATGATATGTGCTGATCCTTTCCAGACAATGGATACATTGGAAAATTGACTGAAAGGGGCGGACTGACAACTTATGTTGCCCCCGGGCAATAGGGGATCATTGTGTTTGCCCAAAAAAAAAGCTCTGAGGGTACACGTAGGAATGGACACCATGACTGACCCTCAGAAGTTTCCAAATGTACTACCCCCTGCTGATGTTTTTTTGAAACTCTGAGGACACGTGTCACCATGCCCTCAGAGCTCCCGTCCTATGTGTTGATCCTGTGCAGCCAACAGTTGTGTTGAAATTTATATTGATGGGTAACTGGGTCCTCAAGGGCATTGCTTGTTTCCTTAGGTTCTCAATACTGTGTGCTGATCCTGTCCAACCAATGAGGAAATTTATTGAGGGTGACCTTTTTTTCTAGACCCTGAGGGCCCTTTGTGCTGAGTTCTCAATGGACATATTATGTGCTGATCCTGTCCAATGCCCTCAGAGCTCCCATAGTGCATTGAAAAGTTGTATTGCAAATTGAAGGGTGACTTGTTTTTTTGTTGGAGGATGGACCACGTAGGAAGAACACCATGGCTCCCATACATGGCTGTCGAGCCAACAGATTGTATTGCCGGCGGGTCAAGTATATTGTATGGAACTTGTTTCTGGCCCACAGAGGAAATTTTGGAGGATGACTAAATGCCCCACTGAGGGCATGTCCAACCAAAGGCACAAATGATATGTGCCTGTCCTTTCCCCTGAGGGCATGTAGAAAGGCACAATGATATGTGCTGACATTGGAAAATATGTTGACTGATGACTTATTTTTTGGAACTCTGAGGACACGTAGGAAGACACCATGCCCTCGGAGCTCCCACTACTATGTGTTGATCCTGTCCAGCCAACAGTTGTATTGCAAAATATATTGATGGGTAACTTGCTTTTTGGTCCTCTGAGGAAATGTTGGAGGATGCAATGCCTCCTGAGTTCTGAATATTATGTCCTGATCCTGTCCAACTAATAGATCCATTGAAAATTATATTGAAGGGTGACCTTTTTTTCTGGACCCCTGAGGGCACGTAGGAAGGCAACCAAGCTTTGTGCTGATCCTTTCCAGACAATGGAAGCATTGGAAATTATGTTGAGGGATGACTTGTTTTTTGGAACTCTGAGGACACGTAGGAAGACACCATACCCTCAGGGCTCCCAGTCCTATGTGTTGATCCTGTCCAGCCAACAGTTGTATTGCAAATTATATTGATGGGTAACTTGTTTTTGGCCCTCTGAGGAAATGTTGGAGGATGCAGTGCCCCCTGAGTTCTGAATACTATGTGCTGATCCTGTCCAACCAATAGATGCATTGAAAATTATATTGAAGGGTGACCTTTTTTTCTGGACCCCTGAGGGCATGTAGGAAGGCGACCAAGCTTTGTGCTGATCCTTTCCAGACAATGGAAACATTGTAAATTATGCTGAGGAAATGTAGGAGGATGCAATGCCCTCTGAGTTCTCAATACTGTGTGCTGATCCTCTCCAACCAATAGATGCGTCCAACCAATAGATGCATTGAAAATTATATTGAAGGGTGAACTTTTTTTGGACCGCTGATGTCATGTAGGAAGGTGACCATGCTTTGAGCTGAAGGTTAGTCTCTTCAATGGGGATGGAGGAAAAAAAAAAAAAAACGTTAGTAGGGTGAGGAAGAACTAGAAGTTCTGACAATATTTCTTGGTGTCTCTGCCATAAAAAAAAAATAAAAATTGGCATTGCTGGGCTTTAGAGGGATTGGTGTAAATGGTTAGATTATCTTGCTTGCTACTTCACTGAAACTTTGCTAGCCCTAAAAACAGTCCAATTATTAGTATTTATTTATGTCTCTATAGTAAAACCATTGCCATTTGTATTGCTTCTGTACATATTCATAAACCAGGCTTGCTTTATCAACCTAATCCTCTCCTCCGTCCCGTAATTCAATAAGCACCCGCTTGATTGGTAGCTGGGCTCATTGCTTGTGTCATCACTGCCAGAGATGCAAAACTCGGTAACGCAGCCAATGGCTTTTGACTGCCTATCAAATATATGCGTTCCCTCAACAGAATCGCTTTCCTTTGCACATATTAATAGGACACATTTAGGCAAATATAATAAGGGTACAAATTATGGTGTCTAATTATGGCTGTAAATATGAGGCATACAATGCCCTGGCTTTTTGTCTAATGGTAATTACAGTGTATTATACAGCATGCCAAATCGAATACTAATTTCAATTTTTTTTTTTTACTTCTTCGTTCAGATCAGAATGAAGGATTTCACTGCAGGGAAGAATGTCGCATTCTGGGTCACTCCGACAGGTGCTGGATGCCCAGGGTCCCCGTCCCTGCCCGCGCCAAGTCCCCCGAACACGGAAGGAACGTCATTGCCTTGTCAATAGAAGCGACCACTGTGGACACTGAATCCTTCGAGGACTGCAACACAAAAAGAACTTTTGCAACTTTTGGCAAAGACGGCAACGAGCACCCCGCCGACGACAGGGCGACCTTGAAAGGGAAAAGGACAGTGGACCTGCCTATCTGCAGCCCTAAGGTCAACGGTGCCGTCCGCGAAGCAGGAAACGGCTGCGAGGCCATCAGCCCCATCACTTCTCCCCTGCACCTAAAGAGCCCCCTGCCGGCCAAACCGTCAGCGACGTACAATATAATGCATTGCGCCGGGAGCCGCGAAATGGAGCAGTTCGTAAGCAACGGCCCGTCTCGGCCTTCCGACGCGGAGCCCAGGGGGGCGGACAGTGAAAACGTAATGCATGAAATCAATCCATTATTGCAAGAATGTCGAGAAAAGGACTCAGTGGGTGTAAAGAGACTAAAGGACATTGTACTCTAAACACCGAACCCTACTGTACGGAAAAATGATTTAATGAAAAAAAAACAAAAATGACTTAAAATTACAGTTCGTTTTTAATGGCTTACCAATGGTTCACAAATTGCTGTATTTATAGCTTCCAAAACGTATTGTTTATAAATAAAGGCTATTGTTATGTGACAATCCCAAAACTATTCAACATGTGGCAGGGGTGTTCCGTCTAAGCAAGCAGCCTGCATCACTCTTGTCCTACCCCCCCTCCAGACCATCCTCTCATCCCGTTGCGCTCAACATGAAAAACCGTTACGACCATCAATGTAAAAAGTATTATGTATGTATTAAGTATTTTGAATTTATATATTTTTATAAGCATATATATCAGAATTATAATATAAAATTAGCTTATTTGTACAGAACAAAAAAAAAAGAAGAAAAAAAAATTACTTTCCACACATCCACCACCAATTCCAATTCCAAAAAAAAAAAAAAAATTCCCTCGCTAATGATTTTGTAACATAGATGGAAAAAAAAAACTCTGCCATTCTTTGTGAGTCGTCCTAAGTTTGAAAAGGTAAGCTGTAGACGGACTGATGCGAACCTTGACAATTTTATCCATTATAGGTTGCTGTGTTCTCGAGGACACCCCTGCATTACAAGCCCTTTTGCTGTTACATGCTCTCTGTACTCTGACTGTATTTGATATTTAAAATTTTGTCCAGTGATGGCAAAAGGCATTCAAGTAAAAATGAAAGAAACATTAAAAAAAACATAATTTGTATTTTTATTTTGTTCATTTAAATGACTCCTGTTTTTCGTTTTTTTTTTTTTTTTTTTTTTTTTTTAAGATTTTTTTTTTCACACTGTAAACACATGAGAGTTCAAGGCTAGGGTATTTTTTGAATATTTAATTGCTATTTATAAAAAAAAAAAAAAAGAGAGAGAGAGTTTTTGCAAACACAATTTTTTATATCCTCTACTATTCTCGTATGCTTTTTGTTACTCTCATACATTGTTAGTTTTCAATTACCATTCCAAGGCCGTACTATTTTTTTTTTAATATGTCCCCAGATAACTTCATTTTTTTTTTTTCTAAAGCAGATGCAATTTATTTTTCAGGTGTATCATGTTTGCTCCTGATTATTGCCGGTGTGCTCAGTTAAACAAAAAAAAAAAAAAATTCTCCAATGTCCTGATGGTATGAATATGTTTTTGACTATTGTAAATTATAGAAAAAAGTTTACATAATATTCTGTTTGTAAAATAGTCTTAAAAGAAAATGTTGAAGACAAATGTTATAAAAAATTCACTGACAGAAAGTGAAAAAGGTGAAAAAATAAAAAAAAGTTTTTAATTTCAAAATGATCCATGCTTCCAGATGAACTATTATGAGGAAACTTCACACATAAACACAAAATTGAAAAAAATGCAAATAATGGTTAAAGTATACACTCCCCAACCACTTTACTAGGTTCAATTGCTTGGTACCACTAATTGCTAATCAGCCAATCACATGGCAGCAACTCAATGCATTTAGGCATCCAGACATGGTGAAGACAAGTTGCTGAAGTTCAAACCGAGCATCGGAATAGGGAAGAAAGGGGATTCAAGTGGCCCCATGAGATGCCCCTGGTACCTTTTTCATAGGCTTTTTTGAGTTTGGGCAAGGACACAGGGGCCCCATGATCCCCTATTGCCCGGGGGCCCCATGAGTTGTCAGTCCGCCCCTGATATAACCACACACACACACCAGCCACGGTTTAGTTTAGCCTAGTGTCCTCAGATAGGATGAACACCAGTCTTCATGGTTGTTGGTGCCAAATGGGCTGGTTTGAATATTTCCAAACTGCTGATCTACTGGGATTTTCACACACAACCATCTCTAGGGTTTACAGAGAATGGTCTGAAAAAGAGAAAATATCCAGTGAGCGGCAGTTGTTTGGAGGAACATGCCTTGTTGATGTCAGAGGTCAGAGGAGAATGGGCAGACTGGTTCAAGATGATAGAAAGGCAACAGTAGCTCATGTCAATATGGACCAAAATCTCTGAGGAACACCTTGTTGAATCTCTGCCACAAAGAGTGAAGGCAGTTCTGAAGGCAAAAGCAGGTCCAACCCAGTACTAGCAATGTGTACCTAAAAAGTGGCCGGTAACTAAATCCACCTAGCTTAGCACCAGGAAGTGTAGGGTAAATTTCCCAAGTCCGGGCACAGACAGCAATAGAAACCTTGGGTAAAAAGTCTAATAAGAATGTCAGACCAAAGTGCTAAGAGCTTAATATCTTTTAAAATCAGTGTTTGCTCATAACAAAATGACATCAAACGTCCATGTTTTGGGGGGTTCAGACACCTTATATGTAGCTAGACTCAAAAGGATGCTTCTGGTACACATATGCAGATAAAGAGTAGCCTTGGCAGTATTAGCAGGTTGCATACCAGAGGTCCTGATGAATGAGGAATGTCTGAACCAATGAAAAGCATTGGCATCTCTACTATGTCTTCTTGTGGTGAGCAAACACTAACATTAAAAGATCTTAGATGTTTGGTCTGGTTAGACTTTTGGATTGTATACTTTGGGTCTCCTAGATAAGAGACAGCCCCATTTTTGTTGAAAGCGGCCACACCAGAGCTACTGCACTCCATATGAACTTGGTTGACTTACTTTGACCATAACCTACCAAACAATTCAAATCCAGTGCCTTTGATATACAGCACATGTTCTGGAATTCAGCAATGGAAACACAACAGATGTTCTAACCGTAACCCACCAGAGCTACTGCACTCCCTATGAAGTTGATTGACTTACTTTGACCATAACCTACCAAAAATTCAAATTCATTGCCTTTGATATACAGCACATGTTCTGGAATTCAGCAATGGAAACACAACAGATGTTCTAACCATAACCCACCAGAGCTACTGCACTCCCTATGAAGTTGATTGACTTACTTTAACCATAACCTACCAAAAAATTCAAATTCAGTGCCTTTGATATGCAGCAAATGTTCTGGAATTCAGCAATGTAAACACAACAGATGTTCTAACCATAACCCACCAGAGCTACTGCACTCCTTATGAACTCGATTGACTTACTTTGACCATGACCTACCAGAAATTTTAAATCTGTGCCTGATGTACATGTTCTGAACTTATTCTAACCTTCACCCTATTCAAAATATTAAAAAATGTTGGATTTCCAGTTTTAAAACTTAAATTTATGTGATTCCAGTAGCCCATTTTTTATGAAGTTGTGGTTTCTTTTATTTATTTTCCTTGGTCTTAGGTCTACTGAGTGCGTCCTTCTGTGCACAGTCAATAGCATCATAACCTCAGCTGTAGCTCACCTTCTGTTCTCTTTTGAAGAACATCACTAGAAATTTCTTTGATGTGTGTTACTGGAAATAGTCTATGAATAAACTCTGCCAAGCCGTTTAAATATTGTGTGTGATACAAAAAGACAGGAGGCTTTCTGACCATCGCAATGGTAGAGGAACTGGCAAAACATATTGTTGATAACTTGGAAATTGAACATATTTCTTTTGGCTTGCTTTACATTTTGCCAGCAAAACTGGTTCACATATTCCTCCTTTGAGGGAACAATATATTGTCATGGGGTATATAGCACCATCTTCTTCAGGTAAGGTGGACACTAGACTAAATAACTACAGGCTTGCCCCTAGGGTCAATATAACCCAGGGGCGGACTGAACATCTGGAAACTCGGGCACTGCTTGAGGGCTCGGGGTCAGTAGGGGGCCCCATGAGATGCCCCTGGTACCTTTTTCATAGGCTTTTTTGAGTTTGGGCAAGGACACAGGGGCCCCATGATCCCCTATTGCCCGGGGGCCCCATGAGTTGTCAGTCCGCCCCTGATATAACCACACCACACACACACACATCAGCCATGGTTTAGTTTAGTCTAGTGTCCTCAGATAGGATGAACACCAGTCTTCAGATCTGTTGTGAGGACTTCTTGAAGACTTGTATTTCAATAGCTTCACATTGGACCTTTCTAGTCCTAAAAAGTCTCTGCAGTTAGTCGTCAAGATCATATTCTTCATATCTTGAAATTGTAAGAGAGATTAATAATGTTTCTCAAGAACTTTGTGAAAATATGCATTTATTCACAGGTTATATTCTATTAGGAGTATTGGCTTCAACCGCAAAAAATAACAATACAGATGGTGTCAAGCGTGTGTGGCGGCAACCAGGTGAGGAGTACAAAGACACGTGTGTCTTGCCTACAGTCAAGCATGGTGGTGGGAGTGTCATGGTCTGGGGCTGCATGAGTGCTGCCAACACTGGGGAGCTACACTTCATTGAGGGAACCATGGATGCCAACATGTACTGTGACATACTGAAGCAGAGCATGATCCCCTCCCTCTGGAGACTGGGCCGCAGGGCAGTATTCCAACATAACGACCCCAAACACACCTCCAAGACCACCACTGCCTTGCTAAAGAAGCTGAGGGTAAAGGTGATGGACTGGCCAAGCATGTCTCCAGATCTAAACCCTATTGAGCATCTTTGGGGCATTCTCAAACGGAAGGTGGAGGAGCGCAAGGTCTCTAACATCCACCAGCTCTGTGATGTCATCATGGAGGAGTGGAAGAGGACTCCAGTGGCAACCTGTGAAGCTCTGGTGACCTCCATGCCCAAGAGGGTTAAGGCAGTGCTGGAAAATAATGGTGGCCACAGAAAATATTGACACTTTGGGCCCAATTTGGACATTTTCACTTAGGGGTAGACTCACTTTTGTTGCCAGCGGTTTAGACATCAATGGCGGCGTGTTGAGTTATTTTGAGGGGACAGCAAATTTACAGTAATACAAGCTGTACACTGACATTGTAGCACATTGTAGCGAAGTATCATTTCTTCAGTGTTGTCACATGAAAAGATAGAATCAAATATTTACAAAAATATGAGGGGTGTACTCACTTCCGTGAGATACTGTATATATATATATATATATATATATATATACACACTGTATATTAAAATAAATGCTTTTATTGTGCACAGTCTGGGAGCAGGTGAATTTACCAAGCACTTAGCTTTAGTCCTCCAACATGTGAGCTAAACACTGACCTCAACTAACCAACTTGTGCTACTTCTCTCTCCCCATCACTAAGCTCAACTGTATAGATCAGTGGTTCTCAACCATCCTAATGCCGTGACCCTTTAATACAGTTCCTCATGTTGTGGTGACCCCCAACCATGAAATTATTTACCCAGTAATTATAATTCATGAGTGTCGTTTTACCTCCAATACTGCTGCTTTCAACACAGTAGCTGCTTTCAACACAGTAGGTGCCTTTAACAGAATAGCTGCTTTCAACACAGCAGCTGCTTTCTACACAGTAGCTGCTCCTTACACATCAGAAATATGTGTTTTCTGATGGTCTTAAGGGACCCCTGTGAAAGGGTCGTTTGACCCCCAAAGGGGTCACGACCCACAGGTTGAGAACCACTGATATAGACAGATGTTGGGTCTAATTCACGTATTTACACTGCTTAAAAAGTACCTTTAAAGATGTAGTAATGTAGAGTTGTGTTTGCTGGTACTTTTATATCTGCCTGGCATTCAGCTTTAGGTCTGCATGAGGTAGGAGCAAATTAGACTTTTACATAAAAACATATCACCTCGACTGAATATATTAGTCAATCTACTGATCTTGTTCACTTAAAGAATTCACAAAAGCTGAGCCCTAGGCAATATTTCATCACATGCTCAGTTAGAGTTTCCCACTTTAACTATACAATGGGTGCAGTCTACAGTATATAGCCCATTCCTCCAAGTAGAAGGGGTGCCTGGATTCTTTTGGCTGTGTACTGTATACAGACCAAAGGGCTCACAACAGGACTGAGGAAAAAAAGAGCCAGTCCACCCTGAACTGAGATGTCAGCATCTTGGAATATCTATTGGAAAGATCTCTGAGCTTAGGTACTGGGTGTAAACACTTGCTGTGACCATCTTTTCTTTATTTATTTCAGGTACTTTACGTCAATTTATGCAGCGCTTACATATACTGTATTGAAGTCCCTAACCCTCAAGGGGCGTACAATCTAGGGTCCCTAACTTACATTCATACATATCCATACTAGGGCTAATGTAGACAGGGTCCAATTAACCTACCAGCATGTCTTTGGAGTGTGGGAGGAAACCAGAGTACCTGGAAACCCACACAGGCACAGGGAGAACATAAAAACTCCAGGCAGGGTCACTGGTTGGGATTCAGACCAATGACCCAAGTACTGCCAGGTGGAAGTGTTAACCATTTAGCCACTGTGCTGCCCATCATGAAGGTCTCCTACCATTCATATGCAGATTTCCCAAGTCTGAACATCTGCCGCCCCCCAATATGAAGGGTTCCCACCATCCCTGCACTTGGTCCCCATGTCTGCACAACTACTGTGCCCATTATGAGGAGTACCCGCAATTCCTGCACTGAGTTTCCAGGTCTGCACACTTGCTGTCCTAATTATGAAGGGTTCCCACCATTCTTACACTGGGTTCTAAGATCTGTACACCTGCTGTGCCCAATATAAAGGGTCCCCAGCACTCCTGCACTGAATTCCCAGGTCTATGTACCTACTGTGCACATTATGAGGGGTACCCACAATTCCTGCACTGGGTTCCCAGGTCTGCATACCTGCTTTCATAGTTACATAGTTAGTCTGGCTGAAAAAAGTCAAAACTACATCCAATTCAACCAGAAAAATAAAAGTTATAATCCT